CTTAGGTCTATATTTTAACAAGAGGTTCCCATTTTCAGTCCTTCGTTTTTGAACGCCTCAGTTACTATCAGTGAACAGACAGGCGTACAGACGGATTTTCCCATGAGGTGTCTTAAGCTACGTTCCTTGCAGTAACTTGAAACTTATAAAAATGGTGTAATGATAAACGCACAGATGGGTTATATTCCTCTGACGTTTACACTGAAAGCACTAGCAGTTGATACAGCGTCAATATGTAAGTTACGATCCTTTTAGAGAAGAAACGAGACAAATAAACAGAGACAGGTGTTACGAGAGCAACTTAAATTGCTGATTTGTTTCCTGCTGGGAAAACTGTCATGGTAGTTGGAAGACGTTGACAAGACATTTGTGAGAAATAAATGTTTAGCGGGGGGTGACATTTCTGTTTGCAAATACACAATATTTGCTTGTCATTAAAGTGTTTGTAATTGCTTAAACAAATACTCAAAGTGCAAACTCGTCATACAGAACAAATCTGCAGCAGAAATCATGGAACAACGAAGTTTTACGGCCATGTTTTCAAATGCGTGACGCAATTCAATATCCTGCTGTAAAACATAACTCCTATGCATTGTAAGAGTAAGGGGAAAACCTTGCAAAAACCCCAGCTTAAAGAAAGAAATTAAAGAATGTGTGATTGTGTACTCCACTCACTCCACTGGGTCAACAGTTAAAACCTACAGAATTCGGCACACCTAATTAAGCCTGTAAATATTCTCCCTCTGAAATACAGATCATTCTGTACCCAGACACTTGAAAAATGTTCCGTGTTCAATGGCTGTGCAATTTCCACAAACACATAAAGAATATGATGAAAAAAAAAATAACGACAGAACAGACAGTAGCTTGAGTTAACTCATAATAGATAAAACCTATCCCAAAATGTTCTTTAATGTACGTCACAGGGTTGTGATTACATTTTGTATTCTAATAAATAATGGTCCATTAAGTAAACAATCACTGTTACCTTGAACAAATTACAAGCAAATACAGAACGTACTTTTAGTTGCTTCACGACACCAGAAGACCTCATTGACGACGACTTTATTAAACCATGCAGAAACGTTCTTGTCAAAGAACTGTCATACAAACATAAAAAAATATCACTTTACTAATTGCAAAATCATGTTTATAATATATCAGTCTAATCTAATAAGACAATTACGTACTGGCAATACATGATTATTTCAGAATTAACATATGCTTTGTGTATTTATGATAACCGCCTAGTCGAATATGCCGCCTACACTAAACGTTTCCTTTTTCAGATTTGAGGCGGATTATCTGTGCACTCACCACCCGAAGTAACCCTAGGTCTTTACTGTCATCAGTGGTAAATCCTGGTCTAGAAATCTAGTCGCGCGGAAATGCAATATTACTAATCGAACCATAGTGCTTAGATATTTTAATAACGATATGCTGCTATTGTGTTAAATAGTAAAACATTTGAAGACGACTGCCTTCTGGGATAATGCGTCTAGTAGTCTGGGACACACATCGCCATGAGAACCTGATATCTCATCCAGCATAATATTTCTTTACATTACATTCCTCCAAATTTTGTGGTCTGACGACGCAGACCGGGGTATTCGCCACTGATTGCAATGCAAGCTTATTATGCGTTTTCCCGCGAAGAACATAGCGGGAATGCATTATGGGATGGTGTTGTCTGTCCGTCGGTACATCCACCCTCCTTTCCAGTCGAATCAACTCGAGATCCACTAGAACGGATTTAGAGGTCGTGCTGTTTTCTACGATTTCAAAATTGTACTTTTGAATATCCTACGAACTACGATTACAAAATGGCTGATGAGGGATTTCATGAGGTACACATCGATGTCCTGCGATGTGACCATAGTGGAAACTGTCGAACAAGGCGGATTTAACACCTATAAATGTAAAGAACTTTCCGAGCATGTTACATATAGGCCCTATCATTCTCCCCATAACAATCGCCACATGCTATAAAATGTCCCCTATCGTTCACGGATAAAAAAACTAATGATGCCACGGAGGTGTGGCAAGCAAAGCAGCATAATATTATCCCGTTAACACCTCTCTAACGGTAGTTCACCGAAATCCTCGTTCCTAGTACGTATTTATGTTTGACCAGCTCATAAATATAAACAAGTTATTTATTACGATGCCTTCCATGTTCTACTGCTGCCCAATTAAATACCTGTTTCGGCCAATTTCTCTTCTCTCCCTCATCTTTATCCCTTATACAAGTTCATGAAATAATCTTTTATATTCTTAGCTTAATTTCTATGAGTTTCGCTGTTTTTAAGCGATTCTGTATAACGTCCGTCCTACCCTTGGTGGTGC